TATATATATCTATATATGATGAATTCTTTTCACTCTCTTACAATGAATGGAACAACGACACTTACTGGCGTGTCCACACTTCTCTCCTGCATTAAAAGTGATCAAAAGAATATTTTGTCTGAGGGAGCTATGCATTTTAAAGTTGATAAAACGTTGATATCCATATTCTATCATTCTACCATAGAAAGTATGATCAATTTCTGTATAACAGCATGGGCCGGGAACACAAGACAACAAGATAAAGAAAAATTAAACTGATTAATAGGAAAAGCATGGAAAATTTCGGGAGGAATTCCGTAACGAGCGACCACCAAGGAACAAAGTAGATATAGAGGTTGAGGGATAGATTAGGGTTTGGGATATGATTGGGGTTAGGTCTCTTCTTTGTTGTGCTTGTTAATGTTGGGGTGGTCGCTCGTTATGGAAGTACTTCCAAAATTTCAACATCTACATTCCCCATACTTCTATGAACTGTACCTTACAGATTGCACTGGAAAAAAAATCTCCATCCGTCAAATAAAAACACAAGTTAGAAGTAAAAGACCAGGCTTCTGACCTGTAACAAAGACAGATACAGCAGGTCATTTTTACCACCATCCATCAAAATTCTTCCATCTTAACCATCTTGTTTCAAGTATTCATATGACCTTAGAGCATGCATCAAAATAACATTGAGTTACAGTCAGAATACTGTGTCTAGCTTAAGATTATTATTGTTGTATTACTGTTCATTTATATCATGCATGTGGCTGTAAACATCACTTCAGACTCATCACTCAAATGCATGTATTTGCTTCACCCTCACTGCTACTAATTACCTCAAACCTCAAACGTTTTGCAGCCTTCCCCTTTCCTTTACCCCTCTTTTTTCTCATTTCATCCTTTTTTTTTTCCTGCTCTCCTCAGTCATTCTCTGCTTTTCTTTTCTGCCTGTTTTCTTCTCTTCTCTTCTTTTCTTCATTAGTTGCTTTCTATCTCGTCACACCCCAATTATGCGTGACGAAATGACTTCGCTTATATATCTCTAAAATTGTTATGCTAGTAGAGTTT